CACCCCCCACCCAAAGCAGCGGCAGCTGCTCGGACCTCGACTTCTGGGGGCGCGGGGGTCCGGCAGGGGAGTTGTCGGCAGCCCTTGCTCTTCTCGCGGCGGCGGCAGCCGGAGCCTTGGCCGCCGCCTCCAGCGCGCCCTCGCTGCCCCGCGCGACCCCAGGATTGCGAACTCTTGCCCCTGACCTGTTGGGCGGGGCTCTGCGCTCCAGCCATCGGCCCGGATGGGTCTCCTGGTTGGGACTTGGGGCACCTGGAGTTAATGTCCAACTGGGGGTCTGCGGAGACCCGATCCGAGGTGAGTGAGGGGTGGGCCGCCGTGAAGGGAGCGGGTGGCGCCTGCGTCGCCGGCGGGATTGGAGGGCTGTTGGGCGCCCTAGCCAGAGGGGCGCGGCTGGATCTCCGAGCAGGCGGCGAGAGTAGAAAGCGGAAAGACTGGAGGAAGCCGAGGCTCTGGGAGGAGAGAGGGAAGTTGAATCGGAGGGAGGCTGGCCTTGTGGAAGGGCAGGTTGCCTTCTCCACGTGGGCAAAGATCTGTGGAGCCCCTGATGCCCCTGGGCCCCGGAATGCCCAAGAGAGACAGTTTTCCTCCCCGACGGGCGGGGCGCTCCACTGTCAAGTCCCGGCACAGTGCGGGGTTTGGGTCGTCTTCGAACCAACGGCCGCGGGATAGTGACCTCTCTGGACTTGCAGCTGCAGAGAGATTGTCATTGCCAAGAGTGCAGCTTACCATTGAGCGCGTTTTGGTCTGTTCCAACGGAAAGCGCAGACCCAGGAAGGGACTGCCGCAAAGGTGCCGAGAACCTAAAAATAGAGGGCTCACCTCCTCCGGGCGCGTTCTTGCAAAACTGCATTTCTCGCCCTTGTGGCAGCCCGCTGCTACTTGCCCTTTGCTAATGTTCCCAACCCCAACTAGCCATCCCCGTCGAGTTTACGCGAGGGGCTGCCTTGGAAGTCCTGGACTCGAGTCTCCGTCTCCAGTAGACTCTTCGGACTCCTCAAGGACCCTCGCGGTGACTATTGTGGTGTCTTTTCTCCCGTACTCTGTGCCGCCTTCCCAGGAGCACCCCACCACCAGCACCCCCGCTGCCTTACGCCCCTTCGGAGCTGATTCCGCGGTGGTTTGCTTTCCAGCCCCGACCAGGGAAGAGGAACCCTCTCCGGGGCTGGGACCGGACTTGCGCGGGGGCACCCCCTCCAACCTCCTGGCGCCTCGCTAGTTTAGGCTTGGGCAGAATCCGCCTGCGGGGCCGACGTGCTCGGCCCCCGGGGGGCGCTGCCCAGCCCGGAGCTTCCTCTGTTTTTGCTCCTTGGCGGCGACAAATGCAACTCTTCTGGCCCCGGCCGCGGTTATGTGAGAGCGCTCTCGACTCTTCCTTGGCATTTCGAACCCACACGCTCAAGTATTTCCAGGAGGAGATGCTGCTTCCAACCTCACGCACGCACTCCCTCCTGCAAGGCCCTGCTTTCAAAGCGGAGTCAGGACTCCCGCCCGGCCCTAAGCAAACCCTCGCTGTGGCGTTGCGCCTTCGCTCCGGCAAGGGGGGTGTCGCCTTTTCAACAAGTGGCAAGTGTCGGGTGTCCGGGAAGCCCGCCGCTTCTCGAGCGCACTCCCGCAAGAGACTCGCGGACCTGGAACTCGGCCCCCGGCCCTTTAAACCGCCAGACCTCCTCCCCGGCTTGCCCGCGAGGAGCGCCCCGCATTCTTTTCCCCTCCCTCGTCTGGGGCCCCGCACCTGTGGGGAGTCGCGGGGGGAATACGGCCTCCGTCAGTCGAGGACACGCAGCACAGAGAAGACAAGCAATAGACAGATCTTCCAGCAATGTCTGTTCCTGCCGCCAAAGAAAACCCCCGAATTTAGGGCAAACCCGTCTCCCCGCGCCACCACCCGCCCCCCCCCC